GTCTATTTAATTCAGTACTTTCTCTCATGCATTGTTAGGTAAAGTTGGACCAGTTACTAACATTGACTCTTCAATTGACAACTGTTCTACTATTGATATAACATGGACTGCTCCTACAGTCAATGATAGAGTATCCATACTGTATTATAATCTCACTATATATGATAACATAACTGATCAGTTCTTGAGAAGTGTATCAGTATTTAATACAAATTATCAGTTATCAGATGAGGATTTATTTCGACATCGTTATACATTTGTTATAACTGGAGTTAATGAATTAGGAGAAGGAATATCTAATAATAATACATTCTCATATCAAAGAGGTATATTAATAAACAATAATTACTGAATAAATGATGTTTATTTAGTACCAAGAACAGTGACAGAAGCTGATTTAGATATAATAACACTTAATGAGACTAGTGCTAATGCTTCTTTTAATATACCAGTAATATCATCATTTTATTAATATTTATTTATAATTATGTATACTTAATAGGTTACATTGGTGTGTACTGGAGAGTCTCCTGAGAATGCTACAATTACTATAAAGTGTAATGGAACTGGTGTTGTGCATAATATCATATATCTAATGGAGAATGCTAAACAACCAATGAATATAACAGTATCAGTACCAGTACCACTAAATCAACAGTGTACTATCACTATTGTGTTTAATAATAGTGTAGGTAGTAGTGAACCATTCATACAAACATTTAGTAAGTAAAGTAATATGTGCATGTATAATTGTGTATGTAAGATATAGAATAATGCTAATACTATTATTAGTATATTAGCTCCTACCTCATATTAGTATAGAGTTACCAAGCCAATAAAAGAATTTGCCAAGTTAATTTTTGTGAAATGAATCATAAATGCATGCATGCATTAAGGGCAAACTGTGTCTTTATTTTTTACTATCTTCTAAAAGAATCAATAGAGCACCTCAGCATCATTTTAATTGAGACTTCATTAGAATCCCAAATGAAATCTAATTGTTTAAATGTACATAACTAAAAATTCATGGATGTTCAGTTTTGAAATGTTTTAAGTTATGAATGCAAAAAATTGTCCAGAAGGTGTATGATATTTATATTTTCTAGCTTTTAAGATGTAATCTAATTGGATTAAAACTGTGTACACATTTATGGTAGAAAATAATAAATACTTTGTATAATTATTCTAACTTTACCTATTATTTCTTCTCATTAGTTGCTACTACTACATCAACTACTGCTACAATTGGAACTCAAACTCCATCAACAAGTACAACACATACACTTATTAAAGTGTTTTATATTTTTGAGAATAGATGGAAGCATTAATGATAACATTGTGGCTGGTACTGTCAGTGGTACTGTACTATTGACATTGATTATATTAACAATATGTGTTGGCATGATAACTGCTATTAAGAGAAAAAGGAAGGCAACAAAAGGGTTTGTACATTTTGGTAAGTATTCCATAATTATAAAAAGTTTTTTATGATGATATTATAAGAACGAGCTGATTCCAATCCGTATGACGAAACTCATCTAACAATGATTGTTCCTATTACCACATCACCTGTACAACTGACCAGTAACAGATCAATAGATGATGAGAATGATAATGGAGCAATGGGTAATGAGAATCTCTATCATCTTGCTAGGAGTGAGGTAATCTTATTATTAATTTAATTATAGCACCCTAATAACATTTTGTCCCTCAACATCGTTTTAACATTGTTATTCAATTGTTAACATTATTTGTTCCATTATGTAGTTCCTTATTGATAAGCACACCATTCCTTCACACAATGTTCAGGTAAGTGCTATTCATCTGACTGTTATAAATATATCAGTTATTATACCTTAAGGAGACAATTATTAGCATGTACCTATTTTAATGATTTTCATAATACTGACATTTGGCTAGTATTTAATCCATGTATTATATCTATGATTTAATTTCATTTTAATGTTAATAGCTATTAATGATTTAATCAGAATTAAAGTTAGAGATTTTAAAAAATCGCTATAATTTGCTAAACTAAAATACCCAATAACAATTGTCTCCTTCAGTGGTGTTATTTATAATTCATGTAGATTCCCAAGTTTCTAATTGAAACAGGCTTTTATTTGAGAAAAATTTGTATGGTATACAGTTGCTTGTTTTGCTTTTCAATTAGAACAATTTTTTAACTTACCGTACACAACATAACCTAATTGATAAAACACATTTTGAATTGGTATAATCATTATCCT